ATGTTTCTAACAAACAGGAGTGAGTGACAGTCTTTCTGTTGCTACATTTTCTTTTCTTTCTATTCTTTTTAAAAATTGAAATGTAACCTCTTCCATGTTAGAAGGAGGGTAAGCTTATGGGAAGAACAATTTTGCACAAAAAAGCAAAGACTCAAACACCTCAGGAAAGATGGGAACTCTGCCTTTAAAGCATGAATTTGACAGAAAAAAATTTCAAATAACTGCTCTCACTCTACTCCGAATTCATTCAGTTTGCACGCCTATCCCACTTCATTGCCTGAAGTGTTCAGCTCCTTTTATTATTAAGGGTAAGCTTATGGGAAGAACAATTTTGCACAAAAAAGCAAAGACTCAAACACCTCAGGAAAGATGGGAACTCTGCCTTTAAAGCATGAATTTGACAGAAAAAAATTTCAAATAACTGCTCTCACTCTACTCCGAATTCATTCAGTTTGCACGCCTATCCCACTTCATTGCCTGAAGTGTTCAGCTCCTTTTATTATTATTATTTATTTATTATCTGTTTGTTTTATTTTCTGAAGCAGAAATTGCAAACTGGATCCAAGAACTTTCTCAATGCAGTAGGCATTCTTCCACATGGGGCTGAGCTGGACATCTTGCAGTCACAACATGATGGTGCTGCAGGACATGCCACGTCCAGATGGGCAGCCCAGTATTCCCTAAAGTCTTTATTGTGGTACCTCAGTAAACTCAGACAATGGAGCAAAGCAGGGTACATTTGTGTTAGGGGTGGTGAAAAGTATGCCAGCAATGAGTCTGAAAAGTGACTGGAGTCAGAAGCTAGGAGCGGAAAGGGAAACTAATAGTGGCCAGGACTGAGGACAGAAAGGAACAAAAAACCCAAACAAAACACAAAGAGGAGCAAGGGTATACCACAGACCATTTAAGAGATCAGTAGAAATTAAAACTAGCCTAGAGGAAAAGCTGGAAGAACAGATGGAGAGTGATATAGAGTTTGCTTGCAAAAGGGAAGGAACTGACGGGAAAAGGAGCTACAGATGCTGAGAAGTCAGATAAGAGAACAGAAATGATTCTGGCTTGGCATGACAGGAGCATAATTGCTGAACACATCTGAAGGCCAAAATAGAAAAGATATAAACTAGGTGGAGATGGGCTTTAGGAAATGAGACTGAAGAGTGAAATTTTAAAGAAAAAATGCAAGTAATCAGGAACAGTGGGATAAGCAGATTTCAGCTTGCACTACCCAGCAGTAGTTTGGTTGGGGACCTTTGGACTTGACAGGAAAGGAAACAGGGTCAGGAAGACTGAAAAGGCTCAGTAGGAAGTGGTTATGATGGAAAACCAGCTAGCTGGACTGAACAGAGCAGGGGTGAGAACAGATCAAAAATGGGCACTGTAGATTCGCCTACCACCAGTGAGTTTTTACATGTGCATGTCTCCTCACAGAGCAATTTCAGAGACCACTTTCTGGAGGAGGGGGGAGGGGTAGACCACTTTTCACAATCCTCTGGCTCAGAAGTGAGGAAATGATCATAGGATGACACCATGGCAGAAATTTCTCATATTGCCCTTACAAACTCAAGAAACTAAACATATAAATCTACTAAAAGTCTACCATAACTTTTATAAATACAACGTTACCACCACAACACATATCCCCATACCGTTTGCTTCACCAGCACTGTCAACACGCACCTGAGAGTTACGTGAAAGAATTTTTCCCATACGTTTCCTGGCCACTGTTTTCCCCTCTACTCTGTTCCTTTTCTACAAGAAGACTAACATCATAGGAGAAGGTAAACAGCAAGGTTTGTAATATTGAATAGATGAGTCATGACTGCTATATTTTTGAGGCTCAAACTACTGTAATTATAATTACACGGCTTACAATTGATGGAACAACTGAGAAAGACATTTTCATAACCATATGCTTGATTGCTTTTATTAGGTGGTTGTTTGCTTTCTTCTCTGTCTCTTAGTCCAGCTTTAAACTAACACTACATAAGCCCATTTCTGAACATCTCATTTTGGCCATCCTTCAGCTGTGGAAAATGTGATGTTTTGTAAAAGCAAGGTTTGGATATTCTTCTTATCATTACAGAAGTCTCAATAGGCAATTAAATCATCTAAGATGGAATAACTGGATTACACTTGGATTTCAGGTATTCTGCCAGTGTTCTGTTTGTGGAACTCTCATTGCACTTGAAGGGAATATTGCATGGAGAATGATGTCAGGAGAAGGAAGTTTATCATAGAATAGAGTCTTAGAAACATTTAGGTTGGAAAAAGCCTTTAAAATCACTATGTCCAACCATTACTTTAACACTGCCAAGTCCACCACTAAACCATATCCCTAAGTGCCACATCTACACAACTTTAAATACCTCCAGGGATGGTGATTCAAGCACTTCACTGGGCACCCTGTTCCAATTCCTGACAGTGAAGAAACTTTTCCTAATATCCAATCTAAGCATCCCCTGGTGCAACTTGAGGTTGTTTCCTCTTCTCCTACCACTTGTTACTTGGGAAAAGAGACTAACCACCCATTCTCAGTTGTAGAAAGTGATAAGGTCTCACCTCACCCTCCTTTCCTTCAGGCTAAACAACCCCAACTCCTTCAGCTACTCCTCATATGATTTCTACTCCAGACCCTTCACCAGTTTCATTGCTCTTTTTTGGATGTGCTCCAGCACCTCTATTTCTTTTTTTTAGTGAGTTGAAGATCCTGCAGTAATATCACCAATTATGTAGCCTGCAATGTTCAGACATGTTGAAAAGGTGATTTAGCCTTAAAGAGCTTCATTTATTCATTATTTATGTGTTTAATCAGTAGGAGAGCAAAATTATATTCCTAATAGCATTGTAGTATGCATGAAATTCACTAGAACGGATATTTTGATGCACATTTAAAATTCAGACCATATTCTAAAATGCAGCTTGAATTTTGTTTTCACAATCAACTCATGCAAACTCTGTAATTTTTTCATGAAACCACATAAATATCATTCTTCCAACAGTTTGGCTTCAGTTTTCTGCACATAGTTGAACCTAGAAATCAAAGCGAAACTCAAGGAATGGAAACTCATATGAATCAAGTCCAAGGAAAGGTCTACTCAACTACTTGCATACAGCTTTCACGAGGAGTCATGTCCAATATCTGCCAATTTCTACAGAGCAGTGCTGCATCTACCTAAAGGCTCATTTGCATTATTCCTAACTGGGGAAAAAAACCCCAAAACTGAAAAAGTAGTGTAGATTTACTGAAAAATTACTTTAAGGCATCAAGTTCCTGGAACTGTTCAGGAGCTGAACATCTCCATATCCTGCTGTTCAGGTCCAGGGTTTTGTTATACTGCATGTATCTATTTTGTATGGACTTCATATATATTTCTTGCTCTAAGTTCATTCTCTCTATGGAATACTAGTTTTGGGGGTGGGGTATGGTATCTCTTCTTTGTTTGCATATATACTGAAAAATAAAGCCTCTAGTAAAAACCAAAATATGCCCTAAACAAGGTAAAGTTTGATGAATGGTGAAAAATCTCAGGCCCTGTTCATCTCCAGAATTTCTCTGCTGTGCACCCCAAGTGAACACAAGAATTCAGAACAATAAAAGACTTCTACCTGCAGCAGAATAGCTAGAACTTCAGGGAATGTGGTGGCTAATGTAGATGGTGACTACTGTGCCCAGCACTCAGTTTCACCAGTTTGCTTTCAGCAAAAGCTTAATGCTATAGATGCTATAGATGAAGTCCTGAGACATTTAAAATAATTTGCAAAAATTCATACTGGAGATTGATGAGTCCACAATTGTGTTCAGCATCACTTTCTGAGTACACCTATGCAAATGTGACACCTCCAAACCTTGATATTACAAACATAAGACCTTCACCATCTCAGGAGGGAAGCACAAATACACACTATTCCACGTCCTGAAGGTTACCCTTTTCACACTCTGAATTTGTTATTTGTTCCAGTTCTCCTTCACCTCTGACAGGTGTTAAATCAAATCAATTTGCAGCTGTTTGAGAGAAGCAGAGCTGGTTATCAGTACTGTACTGTACCTCTGACATGGTATGAAATAGATGTAGAGGCAAAGGAGGGTGTCTGAAGCAGTATTTTAAACTCTATAGATTTAACAATACTTAATTTGAAAAACACACATGAAAGCAGAAGAA